ATCAGCATTGTCTTTGATCTCAGCTTTCTTTTCAGGAATCTTTAGCAGCCACCAGTCCATTCTGTGTTAGTTTTGTTAAAACTTGACAATATCACTCAGCTAATTAGGCACAGGTGCATGGCCCCTCCAGATCCACACTGTGCCCTCCTCCAGCCTGCACTGTGGCCTGCTCCCGAAGCCATCCGACCAACAAACAGAGCAAGGACACTGACACCAACCTAAATATTAAGTATTTTAAGAGCCCAGGTTCTTTCTTGTCAGAAATTAAAATTCTAGGGGCGCCTGGGTGGCTCAGTCTTTGAGCGTCTGCCTTCGGCTCATGTCATGATCCCAGGGTCCTGGGATCGAGCCCCGCATCGGGCTCTCTCCTGGGCGGGAAGCCTGCTTCTCCCTCTCCCACTCCCCCTGCGTGTGTTCCCTCTCTCACTGTCTCTCTCTGTCAAAAAATAAATAAAATCTTAAAAAGAAAAGAAAAGAAATTAAAATTCTAATATTTTCTTCCCTCCCCCAGGAACTGTATTTTGCACCCAGGGGTGAGTGTCCTTGCTTTGCAGGCCATTGGCAGTGGGCCCTGGCTAGAGGATTCTACACACACATGATTATGTAGAGCCCAAGTCGAGGCCGCTCTGCCCCTTGTTCACTGGGCACCCCTCGGCATGGTGCTCAACCTCTCCACTCACCACCGGTCTGCAATGGGATGAAGTGGGAGGGTGCGTCTAAAGGGATAAAGGGTCGCCGCCTCCCCAGGTCCAGCATTCTAGGATTCTCCACTTCTAGGCAGGATGGTCCATCTCTTCAGTGCTAAACTGGGGACCTGTGCTTTGGGGACGGCCCAATTCCTCTGGCCATCTCACTCAGCCCAAACCCTGCTCAGCTATGCCTCTTTCCGCACCCTGGGCAGGGGAGCGCCAGCTCCAGGTCTCCAGAACTAGGAAGAGCAGACCCCTGAGCACATCTGTCAAGGTCCGGGCAGAGGTTCACTCCTCCCCAGATCGTCCTCCTTTAGCTCCCTGCCTAGGCGGTGAGGGCCTGAGACCTGGGCCATGGCCTTCCCCCGCCAGGGCCTGACCTCACTGCAGGCCTCAGAGACAGAGAGAGGACCTGACAGGCGCCCCTCCCCAAGGCGACCACCACGGTCCTCAGGGTCCACACCGCCTCCTCCAGCTCGGGTCTGGGTTCTTGGCCTCCAGCTGGTTCGGGTCACAGGGGCTCCCGCGGGGAAACTGAGGCCCCTTCTCCAGGCCTCTGCATCCCCCTAGGCCGCCGCACCGGAGCACGCTTCCCCTCCGATGCCGCAGTTTTCGGCTTACGCGTCTCCGCCTCGCGGCGCCCAGCAGAGACCTGGCGCTCGGGCGAAGATGAATGAAAGGGCGGGGCTGGGCGCCGCCGAGGGCGCGGGGCGGGGCCGCGCAGGGCAGTTCGGCCGCTCGCCCGCGCCCCGCCCCGCCCCGCCCCCGTGCCGCAGCTCCAGGCCCCGCCCCGGCCCGCCCCTCCGCCCCGTCCCCAGGCCGCCGCGGCGCCGAGCCGGTGCCGGAGCCGGTGTCCGAGAGGCGGCGGCGGCGCCGCGAGCCCCGAGCTCACCCCGGCCCGGCCCGCGCTCTCCGCCTCCGCCTCCCGGGCCGGCGGCGGCGGCGGCTGCGGGCGAGCTCGCGGGGCCCGGGCCGCCCCCAGCCCCAGCCCGCCGGGCCCCGCCCCCCGCCGAGTGCATGAGGTTGACGCTACTTTGTTGCACCTGGAGGGAAGAACGTATGGGAGAGGAAGGTGCGCGGGGCGCGGGCCGGGCGGGGCGCCGACCGGGGGCCGGGCGGGCGGGGGCGTCGCGCCGGGGCAGCCGGGGGAGCGGGCGCACGGGAGGGGGCCGGGCCGGGCGGCCGCGGAGGCCGGGTCTGCCGCGAGGCCGCGCCCCTGCCTCCTCGGGGATGAGCTCGCCCTTCCCAAGCCCTCAGGCCCCTCCCTGACATGCTCCCCCCCCGTTTCCCCCTCCTCGGCCCGGGGTGGGCCCCTCCTCTCTTTCATCCCCGCCTGCCCCCTCCCCCGACCGACGACCACCCGGGAGGAGTCCCAGGCGCTACCCGCCCGGCCCCGGCCTCCCTCCGCGTGCTCTGCCCACCCGGGGCTCGCACTGGGGCCATCCCTTATCCTGTCTCTCCGGCCGGGAAGAAAGAGGGGCTGGGGAAGCCGCAGCCCTGGGTCCGAGCTGCCCGCCCAGCTCTATGACCTTGAGCCGGGGGCTACGTGCCAGGCCTCAGTTTTCCCGTCTTTACAATTGGGAGCTGGGTCGTTGACCCCCGGTATTGGTGGTTGGGGGCCCGCATGGGCAGAGCAGAGATAAGCCTCCTCCAGGGAACTGTCGGCAGTATCCGGGGGGGCCCCCACCCCCTCTCCCTGCACCAAACCCAGTGCCTGCCAGCAGTCTTGGCTGGGAGGATGACTCTCATCCTAGTCTCCTCTTCAGCCCCTTTCCCCTTCCTGGGGCCCAAGGATTGGGTTGCAGGACGGTTAGGGCATGAAGACTGCCAAGACTCCCTCCTTGGGGGGTCCCCTTCCTGGGGTTTCCCCAGCAGCCATCACAGAGGCTCACCTGGTCCAATGCAGGTCCCATTTATGCCAGCCCCTCCAGCCCTGCCCTTCCCTAGCTCCTGTCAGCCCTCCCCCAGGCCCCTGAAGGCCTCCTTGGGGCAAGGGCCCATCTCACTGTCACCTCTGCCTTTTGGTCCCTGCATCCTCATGGAGGGCCAGGCTGTGGCCTGGGAGCCTGACTATATGACCAGGCTTGCCCTCTTCAGGACTCAGTCTCCCGATCTGTACAATGGGGAGGAGCAGGTTTGAGAGATCCTCCAGGACCCACCCAGCTCCAAGGATACCAGGCCCCTGGAATGACTAAGCATGCCTAATGGCCGGCTTGAGGAGGTGCCAGGCATCCCCAGAGCAGGTGTCTGGGAGTGCCCAGCTCTGCAGGCACAGCTGGGACTCAGATGAGGCCAGCACCTCTGGGCTTCCTGCCTTTCTCCTCCTATGGGGACTTCAGCTCTGGATACACCAACCCAGCCCTGTCCAGTCCCTGCCCTTTGAAGGTTCCTCTTCCTGGATGGGCAGGGGAGGAAAGGGGCTGTGACAAGAGTGTCACCTGCTGCCTTATCTCTAAATCCTGCTGCTTTCTTTCTCCCAATTGACCTTGCCAGACAGGAGTCGACCCAGAAGAATGCTCCTGCTGGAGATTGGACGTCCACTCCTCCTCTTCAGTTTACAGATAGGGAAACTGAGGCCCACAGAGGCTTCGCAAGTTAGCCCAGGTCTCAGCAAGACTCTCAGACCGGCGTCCTTTCTCCTTCTGCTAGGCACAGTGCCTAGGTGCTCTGTGTGTGTGCACGAGGATGTGCAGGTCCACGTGGGGTGGGCAGAGCAGGCTGGGCCTGCACCAGACCGCGCCTCCGGAGAGCGAGTCCTGACCCCCTGTGTCCTTGCAGGAAGTGAGTTGCCCGTGTGTGCGAGCTGCGGCCAGAGGATCTATGACGGCCAGTACCTCCAGGCCCTGAATGCGGACTGGCACGCAGACTGCTTCAGGTAGGGCACGCTGGCCGGGGTGGGGGTGCCCTAAGCAAGGCCTGCCAGCGACAAGAGGCTGGGTCAGCGGTCCGGGGAACCTGGCTAGTCCCTCTGGTGCCGTCGTCTCTGGTTGTGACTTCCAGCAAGTCCGTGGCCTCAGTTTCCCCACCTGTAAAAATGAGGCATTTGGACTAGAAGGTCCCCAAGGGCCTTTCTGTTCTGTCATTCTAGATCTCTAAGGAGAGGAGGGGGGAGACCTGCATTTCCACCGGTATTACTGAGGCCTACTGGCTCCTAGGCAGGGGGAGGCCGTGGAGGGCAGCGTGCTCCAGAGAAGGAAGGAAGATACAACCCAGGCCCCACTGTGAGCATGCACAGCCCAGTAGGGCCAGCCTTAGAGAGCTAACTCCAAGTGTCAGGGCTGTGGCCAGCCACAGGGAGACCCAAAGGTGGCCCAGCCACCCAGTAGGACCATCCTGAGAGGCAGGTGCAGGGGATGGCCTTAGAGTTAGCAGCACGGCCAGAACCGGGGTCTCAGAGACGTGAGATTTCCCGCATGGAGAAGTGTGGCAGGAAGCAGTTCCAGGCAACGGGCCTGGCAGGTGCCAAGGGTGCCGGGGTGACAGGGCAGGGCCAGTCAGCGAACAGCAGAGTTGAGGTGGGAAGGCATGGACCACCAGCTAAAGGGGTTTATTTTAGGCAGTGGGAACCTCTGGCAAGGTTTGTTTGTTTTTCTTTAAGAACATCGTCCAACATTTTCTGCGATGCAGGAAGGGCCAGGCACCCTGCTAAGGACTTTGTCTAGTAGATTTTGTGTTGTCTCCATTACTGGGGACACAGAGGTTAATTCTCTTGACCAAAGTCACACAGCCAGCGAGGGAAGTGAACACACAGCGCCCACCCTGGCTGGTGAGGCCAGAAGAGAGGCAGGTGCCAGGCCCGGGGCTCCCAGTCAGGCGTTCACAAGGAGGCCTTCAGGGACAAAGAGGGCTCTGGATAGGCGGAGACAGCCACACGCCCCGAGACAGACACGGGAAGAGCTCATCTGGTTGGAAAAGAGCGAGCGGAGGAGGCAAGGCTGGGATCAATTTGTGAAATGACCCCAAGGCCAAGATAAGGACCTTCCAAGGTCAGTAGGGAGTCAGCCGAGGGTTTTGCAGAAAGCAGGGGAGGGACGTGGGCGGAAGTGCTATTGAAAAATGCCATCCCAGTGGGCAGATGGCGGTGACTTGGCAGGGAAGGGACTGTCACAGTAGTTCAGGGATCTGAGCTCATAGGGCCTGACCTAGGACAGTGACTACAAATGGACAGAGGGGACAGTTCTGGCCAGTAGTCATATTAGCCGCTGTTAATCGGGCACTCTTAACGTTCCCCTTGACCCTGAACGACACAGGTTGGAACTGTGCCGGTCTCCTTATATGCAGATATTTACAGTACGATACCATAAATGTCTTTTCTTTATGAATTTTTTAATAACATTCTCTAGCTTACTTTGCTGTAAGAACACGGTAGGTACTACGTATAACACACAAAATATGTGTAAATTGGCTGTTGATGTTACGGGGATGGCTTCCGGTCAACAGGAGGCCATGAGTAGTTAAGTTTGGGGGAGCTGAAAGTTGCCTGTGGTTTGTGGCTATGTGGGGGTCGGTGCCCCTAACTCCTGCATTGTTCGAGGGCCAGCTGGATTTCATTAAGCCTTCACCGTAACCCTGTGAGGTACCATGACTTGTGCAATTTGCATGCAAGCACGGGCTGGAGCCTGTGTTGGCCTCACTCCCAAGTCACCGCAGAGGTGAAGAGGTGAGGGGGGCGGGAGCAGGGACTGGGGAACAGCAGGGGGAGCATCTGGAGTCGTCTGGGCTTTTGCCCTGGCTGCTGGGGAGGATGGCACTCCTTCAGCTCTCCTGGAGTTGGGGACCAGGTTGATGCTGAGCTGTGCCCAGCCATGTCGCGTTGAAATGCAGCGGGCCATCCAGCGTGGCAGTGCCCGGCCCCTGAGCTGGTGAGGTGGCCTGAGACCCGTCAGAGGTGGGAAGGCTGGAGAGGCAGCTCCCTGGGGCCAGGATGCTGAGATGGTGGACGGATTGCAGGATGGGGCCAAGAGGAACCGGGAAGAACTTTGGGGGCCCCGGTGCTGAGGGCAGGGAGGGAGGTGGAATTTAGGGAGACACGGGGGGAAGGCCGGGAATGCGGCGACAGAAGCCACAGCAGGGAAGCGGGGGGTGGGGGGGCAGGGGGAAAGGATCTAGCGTTGGAGGGGGTCCCTGCCCTGTGACCAGGAGACAAGTAGGGCCCCGGGTCAGGGCAGTAGGCAGAAGGCTGTGCCGCCGTCCCGGGTGTGATGGGGGTACAGGGGAGGCTCCCACAGTGAGAGGGGGCCCACAGGCAGTAAGAACCACGGCGTCGGCATTCTGGCCTCCACAAGTGCTCCTGGCCCCGTGGTGTGCGGTTCTCCCAAAAGCCCCCAAATCTCAGCCAGGCCAACAGTGTCCTTACCCCCGTGACCGTTAGGAGGCACTGTCCGGGGGGAGTCGCTGCTTGCCCAGGCCCCATGGCCACCTGGCAGCCGGGCTCTGGACTCTACTTGCTTTGCCCCTCAGAGCCTCTCGGTGCCATGACATGGGGCTGGCACTGGCTCCCGGGGCCCCGAGTTCCTCGCGATGGGCGAGTTGAGAAGGCACACGGCCTGCCTCTGGCATTAGCACAGGGGGTCACTGTCACCACGGGGCCCGCTGCTTCCTCAGTTCTGCCTGTCCCACCCCCTGTGGGCCCCGCCTCTCGGCAGGTCGCGGCCACGCTGTGAGTGGTCCGAGCTTGGCTCTGGTCCAGCTGCTGGCCGGGGCGGTTCCTTCTCAGAAGCCACAGCACGCCGGCCTGGGGCCACTGGTGACATCTCCCCGGAGGCAGGGTGGGCTGGGCCCCCGGTGAGGAGGGGTCAGTGGGCAGCGGGCAGCGGGCACGGGGTTCAGAGCCTGGGCCGGGGTGCGGTGTCCCCCTCTCCGGGGGACCTTTCAGGCAGGGAGGACAGACCGTCCACGGAAGTCAACCTCTGTTCCCTTGGGAGCAGCTGCGGAAGAAGCAGCTGCTTTGGAGCTTGTCCCTGTCCCCAGAGAGTCCGGAGCCTCCGGTGCCTTTGTCCAGCCGGAGGCCCAGGGGCCTGGAGGGCGCTCTCTCAGGTGTACAGGGCTGAGGGCGGAGCGCGGACCACCTCCTCCCTGCCTGCACCAGAGCAGAGCCCAGGCAGAAGGCCCCCCAACGGCTTCCTGTTGTGGGCCCAGACCAAGTCCTCCTCAGCCACAGGCTGCATCCTCCTCCCCTGCTGTGTGGCCACGCTGGCCCCACCCTCTGCAGCCTCCAATCCTGAGGGCCTAGAGTAGGATGGGGAAGCAGCTGGCCCGGCCACCCCTGCGCTGCCCCCCTGCTGCAAGGGATGCTGGCCCTAAGAAGAAGCCGCTTCCTCAGAGGAGCCAAGTAAGTCCAGAGGCCCCCCCCCCCCAAACTGGCCCAGACCTCAGGCAGGGCTCCTGGTGTGAGGGCCCCCTGGGGCCGGAGGCCACCGTGTGGGGCAGACCTACCTGGGACGGGGCTGCTCTGGGGGCAGGAGAACTGAAACTCCTCGGTCACTGTTGGCCGCCTGTTGGGGGAAGCAGGCCGGCCGCTGCTGAGACTTCTGGCCCTGTGGTCCGGTCTCCCGGCGAAGCTGGTCATCCAGCTGTTCTTCCTTCGCCCCTGGTTTCCAGGGATGTGGCCCTGGCTAGAGGGCATCCCTGGGAGGGATGGACCTGTCACTGCGGAGCTGGCCACTGCTCCCCCAGTGCAACCCTCAGTCCCCGGGCTCCGTGCCTGCCTGGCCCTGGGCCGTCTCTGCACACCCTCAGTGCTTGCTGCTCCTCCCTTGACATCCCTGCTGGGGGCAGCAGCATGTGTGGGGGCGCCCCTGAGCGCCCCACCTGCCTCCTCTGGCTGGGGGCCGGATATGGGCCTGAGAGGTGAAGGGACGGACAGGGGCAGGGGCTCCTCAGTGCCTTCCACACGCAGAGGTACACTGAGGCCCTGAGTGCCGGCACCAAGCTGCTCTGTGAGCCTGGGCTGGATCCCCCGTCTGAGATGGAGGCCCAGCCGGCCGTGCCCCCCGGGAGCCGTTCTGGGGTGCTGGGGGTGGGACCTGCTCCAGGTGCAGTGTTCTCCGGGAACCACTTCCATTCTCTCTGGGTCCAGCATTTGTGGCTGGCTGGCATGGGACCTCAGCCCTCGGGGTGATGGCAGAGGCTGGCGGTGCAGGGGCATCCCAGCCGGGTGACCGAGCAGGCTTCAAGGAAGCAGTGACCCGGGGGCCTGCTGCGCTCCCCCAGCCCGTGGGGGAGTCCGCGCCCGGTCGTCCAGGGCTGCTGCAGTGGGGAATGTTTGTGCGGGATGCGGGGGTAGGAGTCTGCAGGCTGGAGAAGAGCATTCTCTTCCCCCAGAGGAAGGCGAGCTGCGCCGGAGCCCCCAGCAGCCCACCCACCCAGAGGCAGGCAGGGGCCCTGCTGCCCGCAGCCTGGCAGCCAGCAGTGAGGGGGAGATTTCTTTGGGGACACTGCTGTGACGTGCTGTCTAGCCAGTGGAAGGGCAAAGTGAATCACTCACTGATGGCACAGGGTGCTCGGGCGGCGGGGGAGCCTCCCCAAGGTCACGGTGCGGTGCGCGCGCCCGCCTCTTGGTGGAGCCAGCTCCTCGGCCGAGCACCTTCCCGCCAGGTTAGAGGCCCCTGAGGGCGTGCGCTAGGGATCCCCCTCTTCCTGGGCAGCTGCCTTACTTGCCCCTTCGCCCACCCCGCAGTGAGATGTGCGCCCCCTAAGGGCGCCCCGGGGCTGGGGCCGCGTGTGCGGGGGCAGGAAGGGCTGAGGGTGACGTCATGGCTCGGGGCCAGCGTGGCTTCCGCTGCCTCCTCTCACATCCCTGGGCGGTCTCCGGAGGCCCGCCCTGCCCCACTCACACCTTTCATAGGGAGAGCTCATCGGAGCCCCCCACCTCCTGGATGCACCCCCACCCCGGTGCATTCGAACCCGGGCATTTTGTGCCTTCTCCTCCCCAGCCCCCAGCCCCCGGCTGTGGTCCCCCGCCCCTCCCCTCAGGCTCCCAGACAATGGGGAACTGGCTGGATCCTCTTAAAGGGACAGTGTCCCACCAGCACTCTTGGCTGCCTTCCTCTTGTCCTCTTCATCCCCAGTTCCTAAAGAGCATCAGCGAGTGCCGTCAGTGCAACCACCCATGTGCTGGCTGCAGGGGCTGAGGGTGCCCTGGCTGCTGGGCATCGGGCAGTCTCACTCAGGCCCCGGTCTTTGCCGCCCTCCCCTCTGCTGGATTGTTTCCTAACTGGGCGTGAGCTCTGAGCCTGGTACCAAGTCCCTGCCTGACCTTGGCACATAACCCAGAGTGCTCAGACAGCAGCAGAGTCGGGCAGATTCTCTGCTCACTGTGTATTCTGGCCCAGACGATTGTATGCAGCCAGGACCCTCCGTCAGGCTCCTCAAAACCCAGTGTGGCCCGTGCCCCTGCCGGCTGGCTCCCAGGGGGCATCCTGCATTTCTGCATTTGCTCATCCTGACTTAGCTGAGCTGCTGGTCCCCATCCAACTCACTCTTGGGTGGAAGGAAGCCAGGCATGTAGGTCTAGCTCCTGGCCTGTGGGATAACACAGAAGGAAGCAGGTGCATCATTTCGCCGCAGCTCCCTTCAGGGGCCCCAGCCCGGCCTCTCCCGCAGCCCCTCCCGACAGGGCAGGGTGTCCTGGCCTTGATGACCGCACACCTGGGTGTTCTGCATGCACTGCTCCTCTGAAGGCGGGTGCAGGCGCTGGGGCCCTGGTTGAGCTGGGGTGAGCAGGGCTGGGCCGAGCCCCCTTCTTGGGGCTGCAGCACCCAAGGGCTGGATAAGGTCTAGGAAACAAGGAGATCCTCTGTCTTCACTGATTCTGGCTGGTGTCTGCTGAGCCACATTCCTGCCTTATATCGTAGTAGAACAGGGAGTAGCTTTGCTCTGGGTCTGTGGCCTCCGTCACGTGACCTTGGGCATTTAGAGCCTCCAGAGTTCATCTGCCTCGAGGTGGCCAGTGTGGATTAAGTACATTTGGCCAAGACAGTGGGCAGGTGCCAGCATTTGGTAGCTCTTCACAGCTCCACCGGGTCACTGCCATCTGCATCAGCCCACCCGCGTCCTAGGCACACAGGTTCCATCCCCCCCCCCCACCGCACTGGCGAGCAAGAGCAAGTCATTTGTCTTCCCTGGGCCATCTGCCATGCCTGACAAGGGACAGGGGCTCAGATGTGAAGAGCATCTCTCACCTGGGGCGTGGCAGGTCGGCCAGATGATCGGGTGCGGTGGGTGGTCGTGCAGGTTGTGCACTGCGCAGAGGCTTCCAGCTGCGGGGCCAAGAGAGGCTGAAGCCATCCCGGACTCCACCTGCTAAACCCTGGGCCCCAGCATAGGCTTCTTCTGCCCGAGGGAGGCACATCTTTTTCTAGTTCTTACAGAGGCACCTGCTGTGGGGGAAGGGGCTGAGCCAGACTAAGTCCCTGTGCCTCTTGCACCCAGGTGTTGTGAATGCAGTGCCTCCCTCTCACACCAGTACTACGAGAAGGATGGGCAGCTCTTCTGCAAGAGGGACTACTGGGCCCGCTATGGAGAGTCCTGCCACGGGTGCTCAGAGCACATCACCAAGGGGCTGGTCATGGTAAGCGCCCCGCCCCACTCACACCCCACACCTGGTGCAGGCATATGTGTGTCCTCACGGGTTTCCCCTACCCCGGCTCTCTTCGGTTCTCCTTTTCACGGGCTCGGACTACCCCCTGCCTTCCGAGCCCGTTGGTCTGTCTGTGTGTCTCTGGAACCAGCATCCTAGAGCTGGTCAGCCAGGCCCCCAAAGTTGGCTTGGAGCTGCGCTTCCGAGAGGAGGCTGAGGGGAGGAGCTGTGGGGACTGAAGGGGTTGCTGAGCCGGGTTGTCCCTGCCACCCCCCTGCCAGGTGGCCGGGGAGCTGAAATACCACCCCGAGTGCTTCATCTGCCTCACGTGCGGGACCTTCATCGGTGACGGGGACACCTACACGCTGGTGGAGCACTCCAAGCTGTACTGGTGAGTGTGCGGGCCCCCTGCTAACCTGGGGTGCCCACCCCGTCCCGGGTCTTCCACACCGGGCTCCTTTCCCTTCCCGCGTGGGGCAGGTGTTAATAGAAGTTCGGTGTAGAAGTCACTGAGAAATGACACGGTTGTCACACTGAGAACTCCCGCCGCACACACCCGCTCTCCCGTGTCACGGAGGTGTGGTTCTGGCATGCACCCCGCAAGTTCAGACCCAGTCCCCAACTAGCCCCACGTTCAAGGGTTCCCACAACCCCTACAGTTTGAGAATTCACTAAGCGACTCCGAGAACTCTGGAAAGCCCCATACTTAGGATTACAGGGGTTTTTATAAAGGGCGCAGATCCCTTTTTATGAGGGCCAGCCTGCAGAAGTGACACCAAGAGCAAAGTGTGGGAGGAGGTCCCCAAATGTGGAGCTTCCATGCACCGCCCCCCCCCCCGCCATGGAATCAGCACATGTGACACCCCCACCTGCCCTGGCATCACCAGAGTTTTTATTGGGGTTTCATTATGTAGGCACCATTGATTGAATCATTGGGCGCATGATTGAACTTAATCTTCAGCCACCCCCGTCCCCACCCCCCCACCCCCCCTCCTCCAAGGTCGTAAGGCTGGGTCACAGGCCCCACCCCTCATCTAATCCCATGGTTGGTTCTTTCTGGTGACTGGCCCCCATCCTGCGTCCCCTGTTAACACAAGCTCAGGTATTCCAAGGATTTAGAGCCTCTTTCCCAGGAACCAGGACAAAGACCAGACAAATTTCTTTGTTATACAGTGCTGATAAAGCTGGATGCCCCGGGTGGCATGGCTTAGTCCCAAATGGGCTTTTAATGACTTCCTCCTGAACTGGATTTATCCACAGGCCTTTTTCTGGCCAGCTTACAGCATGACAGGAATAGAGGTGCCCAGAATGACTGAGCTCCAGAGAGCGGTAGGGGTTGGGCTGGATGTGCTCAGTTCCTGTTCCAGGCCTAGTGGGCAGCTACGACCCTCCTGTCGCGGGGAGCCGGAAGCGGGGGTGGGGAGGAGAGAAGAGCCAGGGGCTGGGAGATGGGGGGAGTGGTGATGCTGGTGATTGTCCTGACACTCTTTTCTTCCCCCTCTGTGGGTCCCTACCACCTGTGGCCCTTGCAGTGGACACTGCTACTACCAGACCGTGGTGACCCCTGTCATCGAGCAGATCCTGCCCGACTCCCCTGGCTCCCGCCTGCCCCACACAGTTACCCTAGTATCCATCCCAGCCTCAGCTCATGGCAAACGTGGCCTCTCAGTCTCCATCGACCCCCCACACGGCCCGCCAGGCTGCAGCACAGAGCACTCCCACACCGTCCGCGTCCAGGGGTGAGTGTGGCTGTGGCCATGGGTGCTGGGGGCAGGGGGGGGTGGACTCTAGGGCTGGGCAAGCATCTGGGCACCAATAGAACCCGGCTCTGACAACCTGGTGTGCCACATCCCTGGTCCAGTCATTCTTTTAAAAACTATGACAGGTGTTAGATAAAATATTTAAAACTTCTTTAATCCATGTATAACCCAACAAGAAAGAGGAGTAACCAGGTCAAGGATAATTGATGCAGGAAGCCTAGGAGCGTCAGCAGAACCAGGGAAGACAGCCGTGCCCTGAGGCAAATCGAAAATGAATGAACCTAAGCTTCAGTTTTTAAGTCCTTTCGTGGCTGGGCCTCTCAAAGCCCTGACCTGCTCGAGGAAGCTGGTCCTGCATTAGAGAATCCCTCCTCCATTAGGCTGAGATCCCAGAGGGCTCTCAGGGTGAGGATGAATGAGAAACAGACCACACCTTCCATCAGCCCCCCACTCCCAGAACTGAAAGATAAACTGATTTGAGCCTGAATGGAAGGGAGGGGGACTCTCCCCTGAGAATACATAAACTTGGGTTTGCAGACCAAATTCATATGCCTAGATGGCTCAAAAACCCCCAAGTCACAACTGTAAAAGTTTCAAGTACTTCCAATTGGCAGTGGTTCCCAGTCCCTGACAGAATCAGATGCAGATTTTTTTCATTGAATTTACTGAGCTAAGCGTCCCAAGGAAGATGGGCAATTCAGTGAAAAATCACTGAATGCATAAGGAAACAAGGCTCACTATGAGCGAGAGCCAGCAGAAACAACAGGAAGTAGAACCAGACCTACAGAACCTCCAGAGACTGGAATGATTGGAAACGATGTAAAATAATTACACTCAGTATGTTGTAATCAATAAGAGATGTTTGGAAAAAATAAGTAAAGAGCAAACAGATTTGGAAAAGAACCAAACAGAACCCCTAGAAACGAAATAATGGAAACCTCAGTACGTGGGTTTAACAGCGGAGTAGGGCTCTAAACTACCTAAGGGAGAAGCAGAAACAACAAAAGGATGAAAGCCGTGAAAGAGAGATTAGGACCCATGGAGGACAGAGGTTAGGACACATGGAGGCCATTTGGCGTCCCAGGAGAAGCACGAGATGGTGGGAGGGAGGCGGTATTTGAAGATACAGTGGCCATAGAGAATAGACAAATCATCTTCAAAGGGGGGGGGCAGCTGATTTCTCAACAGTAACAGTGGAAGCTGGAAATAAGCGAAATGATGTGTTCAATGCCCTGAGCAAAAAATAACCATCAGCCTAAGATTCATTCTGTCCTTGATGAAAATACTCTTCCAGAAAGGGAGAGAAATAAAAACATGTTCA